ATGACACGATTAGGACATGGGATAGGGAGACTGGGAGGGCAATAGGAGAGCCAATTCAAAGCGATACTGATTTAGTCGCATCCGTGGCATTCTCTACTGACGGAAATAGCATCATATGTGGTTTAAGCGATGGTACTATCAAATCATGGGATATCAAGACCGGTCAGCCAATAGGGGAGCCATTTAGAGGCCACACGGATGTAGTATACTCTGTATCCTTCTCTCCAGATGGCTCTCGAATCATATCTGGCTCAAAAGATGAAACACTTAGATTATGGGATTCAGAAACAGGTCTATTAGTAGGAAAGCCATTTGAAGGTCATACTAATTCCATATACTCTGTAGCATTCTCCCCGGATGGTTGTCGAGTTATATCCGGATCGAGTGATAATACGATTAGAATATGGGATTTGACGACCGGTCAAGCACTAGGCGAGCCGCTTCAAGGACATACTAGCTGGGTCCACTCAGTGGCATTCTCTCCTGACGGGCATATAATTGTATCAGGTTCAAGGGACGAATTAATTAGATTGTGGGATATAGAGACTGGTCGAGCAATCGGGGAGCCACTTCAAGGCCACACAGATTCAATCATGTCCGTAGCATTCTCTCCGGATGGAAAACGGATTATATCTGGCTCAGAAGATAACACTATAATAGTATGGAATATAGAGACCGGGAAACCAATAGGAGAACCACTCCAAGGTCACACGGATTTAGTTACATCCGTGGCATTTTCTCCTGACGTTCATTATATTATATCTGGCTCAGCCGATAAAACAATTATATTGTGGAGCCTAGAGACTCATCGGCTAGTAGATGTATTTCGAGGTCACAATGATGTGGTCTACTCGGTAGCATACTCTCCTGACGGGCATCAAATCGCGTCTGGATCCGGAGATAACACAGTTAAGTTATGGAATGCTCATGACGATCGACTATCACAGGAAATACACACCGCATGTGATCCTTCTATCTCATCCACGGAATCCCCCCGAACAATTCATCCCTCCCCATCTCCCCCTTACCACACACTCAACACGATACAAGCTCTACTTCACTCTAACGTGCGTATCTCATTTATCTATGTCATTCTTTGACCGATAAGCCTTTGTATCAGCTTTATGGTCCACATTTCTCGGTACCCGGGTTTGACGATTGCATCTTGTCACAAGATGGATGGGTAAAGTCGTCAAACAGGCTCCTTTATTGGGTTCCTCCCACCAACAGACATGGATTACAGTACCCATACACTCTTTCCTTGCCAACTTCAAATTCCCTTCGGGCAACATGGATCGATGTCAGTCGGTTTCAATGTGGATCCGATTGGACTAAGGTGAGAGGCTCTTCTCAATGAAGAAAGTTATATTTGAAGGGGGAGAGTACATATTTTTGACGAGAGAGCCTAAACTTTAAGGATCTTTCGTGGATGCTGCCATCTCTGTCGCATTTAAATGCAATATAGTGCTTCGTATGAATAGATTTAATATTGATTACAAGGTATACCGTGATATCTGCTCGCTTTTGCGGCCTGAATATGTGTCCCAATAAATCACGTTGGTCAGAGATGTGTGTGGAATGCGAATTGTCGAGTTTAGTTTCCATTGATGCCATCCAATCTCAGCATTAAATGAGTATGCATTAACAATTCGCACCCGGATGGCTGCTTCAGCAGATCGTTTGTCGGCGATGAGACACATCCCCGGGATTCGTATCGACTGAACGGGATATATAGCGAGCTGATAATACTGTGGTTGGAGATGCCGTACTGCCTTTTGCCATGTAGAGAGTTACGGAAGGAGAGACATTTGTGGTTGCGGTACCTTTGTGTCCGTGTAGTGAACACGCAATGACCAAAGATGCGTTGCCTCAAATGTCGGGAATATTAACAGAGCCTTTTTTATCCCGACCAGATATGATACAGTTAAAGACGTAAGAAGCGATTGTTCTAGTTACAATGAAAACCTACTGCCATCGACCGTTGTGCATACCCTTTCATCTACGCCTTCTCACATTCGACGTCTTGTAAGGACCGTTGCAGATTTGCACAGTGATATAGAATGAGGTATAGAGTAGGACGCGGTTGTGCGTCGTCGTATAAAAGTTTTGCTGTATAAATTCTCGGGGCTGGAGTAGATGATGTTGAAGGTAGACCGGCTCATTCTTCTAATTCGTTCGACTTTACTGTCACATTGTATTTGAATGCGGTGGCATAAGCCGTTGTGAAGTGCGCAAAAGCCCAAGGTAATGGTCGAAGTGTACTTTCGCTTTGCTTTATTCCAATAAATCTCTCTTGTCTCGCCTCACATCTCATCACCTCGCCTTC